AGGAAGTGAGCTAGTGCATCTAACCTCAGCTTCCCATAGACCAGCACCTTACATTTCCTAATAGGAGGGGCTGAAATTCCCTACAGATAGATAGTCCCCAGATGGTAAGTAGATATCTTCAGATGCTTCCTTCTCTTTGCTAATGTCTAAACCCAGACAGCCAGGCAATCATGTAGTTTGCTTATTATTTTACTGCAAATTGGTATTCAAGGCTATCCTTTGAGAAGGCAGAACAGTTGGGTCAGAACTAGAACACCAACCTACTTCATGTCAAATGCATGGCCTTGGTTCATCTCTGTGGGATTATGAGAGGACTCCACTGGCTCTTGTGCCTGACTCTTGGTTCTAAGTTTCCTCAATAAATTTTATTTCTTGGTTTGTACTATATGATATTGTAGATTTTATCCCAAAACCCCTTGTATCACATCCTTGCAGTAAATTTATGAGTTAGAGATTACCATTTATGTTTTCAAGGTGAGGAATATGAAGCATAGATAAGGTCACATAGCTAATAAGTGGTAGGATTTGAAATTGGGTTGTTTGATTTTTGAGCCAATGATGTTAAAAACTTTGTTGAATAAAAGGGAACTGTCAATTTATAAAGAACTGAATGAGCACTCCACTATTCAAAGAAGCACCAATGGAGAAGGTCAGTTCTCATGCAGAAGTTCCAAGTCTGAGTTGGAGCATGTAACCTGGCTTTTTCTTCAGTGGTGACTTTTGACATTTAGGCTCATGTCATCTCTGGCCAGCTCATGGAAAAAATAATTTGGGAAAAAGTGACAAGTAAGATAACTGGTCTACTGAGAAGCCAGTCTCAGTGCCTTGGCTCAGAGAAGAGGAAAACCAAGACAAAGCATGGAATATGGGTTTGTGTCTTTTAAAGTATGAAAACACTTTCCATAGTAATCAAGACTTTGTTGATGTCCTGAAATTTGACCAACCAGATTAATAGTACCAGTAGCTAAGAAAGGGTCAAGTTGAAGCAGTTCTGGTCAGATGGGGTTGAGTATTTCCTTCCCCTTAGTCCATTGGATTGTTTTTTTAAAAGAATATACTCAGGCTTGCCTTAAGATTAGTTCTAATAGTTATTTCTTTGTCTCACTAATTTTTCTATGTCAATTAGCAAAAGCTGAAAGGACAGAAAGATCATGTACCTTTGATTAATTTCTAGAAAAATCTGGTTCAGGGCCAGAATCAAGAGGATGTATCTCAGGAGGTTATAACCCAACAGATTGCCAATAGGACTTGGGAATTAAAACAGTTTCTAAGATTTTACAGAGAACTGTCAGATGTGTACTTGTTCGCATTCCAATAGAATATTTATTCTACTGTTCAAATTCTCATTAACTTATCCTGTAATTAGAAAGAAGGCAAAAATGTTTTGATGAACCAAATAACACTATATAATTTTTACTGACATGACATGCAAATGCTTGTTTTTCAGATTCCTTTATTATCACTTCAGAGATTTTTAAAATTAAGCTTCCTTGTGTGCTTTCCCAGTCACAGAACCCGAGTCATTGGTATCCAAAGCTAAACCTTGTCCAGATGCTAATGCTTTTGTGCCGCAGTTCGGCTGGCTGGGCAAAATAACCGGGGGTGATGAACAACTTGTGTACGTTGATACAGCAGGAGTGGAAGCCGTTTATTGTAGGACAACAGAGGTATTTATACATTCCACACAGCTTATCTTAATTAACATAAACTAGATACAGCAGTCAACCAATAAGAAATCTCCACACTTAATGGCTCGATGGCATTACTTCACAAACCACTCCCTCTGGCATTTTGCCAGGCGCCATCCAGACTTGTTTACAGACTTTAACACTTTTGAATTAATGTAGATGAAAGAATTAATATAGAAAGAATCCTCTCCCTGAACATGTCCCATGTATTGGGGATTGAACCCAGGGGCACTTAATCACTGAGTCACATTCTCACCTCTTTTTATTGATTTTGAGACAGAGATCTTTAAGTTGCTTTGGGGCCTCATTAAATTGCTGAGGTTGGTTTCAAATTTGCCATCTTCCCTGCCTCAGCCTCCACAGTCACTGGGATTATAGGCAGCTGTGCATACAGTGCCCGGCAATATATAGATTTTTAAAAAATTTCTCTTAGTTTTCTAGTTTCCAAATATAAATAGTTAGCCTTYGGTATCCCTTGGATTCAACCAATGCCAATTGAAAATATTTGGAAGAAACTTGCATTTATACTGAACATAGATTTTTTTCTTGTCATTCCCCAAACAGCACAATGTAACAACTATTTACATAGCATCTACATTACACTAGATATTATAAGTAATCTAAATATGTTTTACAATATAAAAGAATGTGTGTAGGTTATATGTAAATAATATGCCATTTAATTTGAGGGAGTTGAGTATCCACAGATTTTAGTAACTTAAGGAGTCCTGGGGCTGGGGATGTGGCTCAAGTGGTAGCGCCTGGCGTTCGTGCGGCCCGGGTTCGATCCTCAGCACCACATACCAACAAAGATGTTGTGTCTGCCGAGAACTAAAAAATAAATATTAAAAATTCTCTCTTTCTCTCCTCTCTCACTCTCTCTTTAAAAAAAAAAAAAAAAAAGGAGTCCTGGTGTCAATTCCCCACAGATATTGAGGGATGACTGTACTTAAATATACCTTCAAGAAATGCTGTGAGGATTTGGTAATATTATGCATGTGAAAGAAAAACAATATTATCTTTCCCATTTCCTAAGTCTTAGGTGTTTTGTATGTCTTCAAAGTTAACACAAACTGAAGTTGTTGCTCCAGTATTAATCATTTAATAAGGATCTTATCTATTCTGCAGATCCAATATTTTCATGAAGATTAATAAAAATCTATTTATTTATTAATTCTACAGACATTTACTGTTTTAATTCATGTCAGAAACTGATTAGACATAGCAAAATCAAACACTAATTGTTGAAAAGCTCACCAATGCTTTTTCCTCAAATACAAATACAAACAAGTAACTAAAATAAAATGGGATAATGCCATAATACTGATATAATCAGGATTTTAAGGGAATTAAGAGATAAATTAATGATATTTTGGAGGACTTTTCAGATGATACAAGATTTTTAACTGGGTATGAAAGATTGAGTAGGAGATTTTAAGTAATACATCAAATGTCTTATCAAGATTTGGGATCAGGTGTCATCACAAAGGAAAGTTGAAATCATTTATAATATTCATAGTTTCACCAGTCTATACTTTATTGCCTTCCATAGTCCTAATAACACCATAAAGTTTATATTTCTTCGTGCTTTTCCTGTCCTCTTTTACCATTTATAATTCTTCATTTTTATCAAGGCTAACATGACTGAAAATTTTAAGTTATCTGCAAAAAGGAATTACATTACAAGGAAGATATGATGTTTTCATAATGCAAATTTGAAAGAGAAGATCATAAACTTTAATGACTGTCTTTGAAATATCACAGCAAGGGCATCTTTCACATGAAGAGAGGATTTCCAATCTCTGAAATGGCTGACTTGTAGAGAAGTGAAGCAGTTTACTCTCCAGCCCAGGGATTTCTAAATTTGAATGTATTTGGTAGTAAAGTGAGAAGTGGGGGGAAACCACAGGGTGCTAATTTTTTGTTTTGTCAATGAAGAACATCAAGCTTCCTTCCAAAAATTTACCATGTACTACCACCATCATTCAATACAAGAAAGAGCATTATAAAGCCAAATTGCATAAAGGGTATGGTATTATTAAATGCACCCTTTGTAGTGACTTCATTTAATCATGAGTAAAACTTCTTATTTTCCTAATTTTTCAAGATTTGTGCTGGTAGTGATAGTGGAAAGTCTCTCATGGACTGACTCTAATCTGGAGTCCAACATTAAGGATATTTATCTAAGAATTCTGATTGATATCTATGTTCTTTTCCATATCTTCCAGGAAGGAAAAGAATATAGATATCAAGGACATTCATTATAATCTATAAAATTATGTTAATTTTCTGTTATGAGACACTTGATATCTCCCTATTCCCTACAATAGTGGTTCTTAAACTTCTGCTTCATCATAATCAACTGGGAGCTTATTTAAAAAAATGTAGTTTGCTGAGTCCATCCTCAGATTGTTGACTCTATTTCTGGAATGAGGCTCAAGAATGTGCATTTCTAATAAGTTTCCAGGTGATGCTAATATTTCTGGTCCCAGGACCCCAGTTTCCTCCATGATAAAACCCAAATTCCTTACCAGGTCATATAAGGGTTAGAGTTAAGTTACTCTAATAGAAAGCCCCCAAATACAGAGGCTTAGTTAATATTACAAACAATGGAAGAATTTTTTCCTGTAATGGTCTGAAACTGTTGCTCTGCCAGTTACATACTTATTACATTCTTTCTCATGGGTTCTGTTTCCATTTGCATGGTCCAAGTGAGATACCCTCCACATTCACATTCCAGCGAATAGGAAGGGGAGTGAGGAAGGTGATAGAAGTAGATTCATGTGAAACCCATTACTTTCCTGACATTGTATTGGTGGAGACCAAGCTAAGAGTGCGATTTGCAGCATGGTGGCCATATATCTAGCTAAAACTTCAGGTGGAATATGTATTGGTAGATAGCCTCCACCACAAAGGCTGGTCAGCATTCTCGTGTGAATGAAGAGGAGTGTCATTTCTGATAGAGTAGTATGTCTTGGAAGAATAAAAACTGTCCAGATAACTCTACATGAACATAGATGTCCATGTGAAATTTTTCTTAATATCTTTTGCATAACTCTATTACTGTATTTACTACATTTTATAATTAGTTATTTTATCCCATAGATATTTATGTATTTATGTCTCCATATCATTTCTCTATATTTCCTATTTAAAAAGTTGAACATTGTATCTAGTATAATTCTTAGTACATTGTACATGGCCAATAAATAAATAAATAATAAATTTAAATAAATGCATTGATTAGCTTCTATTGATAAAAGCAATTATTTACTTAGCTTGCAACACTCTGGTCTAATTTTTCCTTTTATTTCATGCTTTTGCTGAACATTTATCTATCACTAGTATTCGCTTCACTGCACTCTTCACATCTTTGTTTCTTAAAGTGTAGATTAGGGGGTTAAGGCTGGGTGTGACAATTGTGTAAAAGAGAGTAAAGAACTTTCCTTGCTCTTGGGATGTGGTATTCTGTGGCTTCATGTACATATAAATGATTGTTCCATAAAAAAGAGTTACTACTGTGAGGTGGGAACCACATGTATTTAGGACCTTTTTCCACCTTCCTGCTAATCTGATCCTTATCACAGCTCGAGTGATAACTCCATATGAAAAGAGAATTAATGATAGAGGTACTAGAAGAAATACTACTCCAAGAGCAAAGACAACAATCTCAATTACTTTTGAATAGACACAAGCCATCTTGATCAATGCTGGCATTTCACAGAAAAAATTATCTACTTCCCGGTGTCCACATCTTGGCAACTTCATAGTCAAAGAGCAAAGAATTAAGGCACTTCCAAGACCACCCAACCAGGAGGTCAGCACCATCTTCTGGCAAAGCTCAGGGTGCATTATTACTGTGTAGTGAAGAGGTTGACARACAGCAGCATAGCGATCATAGGCCATCACAGCCAAGAGAAGACATTCTGTGGCTCCCAGGTCAAGGGCAAAGAAGAATTGGAGCACACACCCTCCATATGTAATAGACTTTTTGGGACCCCATAGATTTGCCAGCATCTGGGGGATAATGCTAGTTGTATAACAGAGGTCCAGAAAAGACAAATTAGATAAGAAGAAATACATGGGGGTATGAAGCTGGGTGTCTAGATAAGATACAAGAATGATGGTTGTGTTTCCTACCAGAGTCACAATATAGAAGATGAAGACAATCACAGAGATGATGCTCTCTAGCTGAGGTCGATCAGAAAACCCTAGAAGGATGAAGTCTGTTGTGGAACTTCCATTGCTTGTTTCCATTGCTCCTTATGAAAGCTAGGAGATAATATTATGGTAACCAAAAACAGAGTCAGCCTTAGGTAAAAACTGAAAATCTCTGACATTTGTCATAAGTATCCCCAACTTCCTTATATTCATGCATTTTTTTCTATTTGTAACATCTCTTTTAATATTCAGTGCCCAGAGCCTTTCCATACTTAATTAAATCCAAAGTTGTTCTAACAATATGCTGAACTCAACCAGTGTATTCTAAATCACTACATAAGATTAGTATAAAATACCACCCATGGTACTATGTATTTTAATTAAATAATGAAGCAATAAAGTGAATAATATAATTTAAGAGTGGAGTATATTTTGAGAATACTTTTCCTCCTAAATTATAACACTATCACTTCATTGTGATAAATCTTTCCCTTATCAAAGGAGTTGTGTTTGAGGTAAGAAGTAAAATAACATTTTCTTGGGATAAGCTCTACAATTTGGTAGCAGAATCACTTTCCAAATTTACTGCCTAATGTCTCATTCCAAGCATCATAATCACAATCACAACCAACCTCCTCCTCCCTGTTTTTCCTACTCTCCAACATTTCAGGCTTTATGGTTATTGTATAAACTAGGCTGTTTTTTTTGTTGGTGTATTTTTCATTGCTAGAAAATAAAAATCTTTCTTATTATTAACCTTTTCTTACATGTGCAGAGGCCATTTTTCAAATAGTTTWATGCCTAATATTATACATTCAGAGAAATCTCATGGATTTGTTAGAATTAAAAATTGAACTAATTCCAGAGCCATTTGTCCACCACAAAAGTATAACAACACTTGTCATCAACTCTTATTCACCTGTTCATTCACAGAATTAGCCAGGATGGTAATGGAAACAATTGATAATTCATAAAATAATGTGAGTAGTATTTGTCCTTATGAAATTTATCAATTACATGGTGGATCTTCTGGTTGTTTTGGAACACTTTATATAAAACTAACACTTTTGACTCTAAAAGGAGTACTTAAAAAGGATAAAGGTTCCATCAGTTTCACCATTTCTGAACTAAGTCTCATATCATTAAATAGTTGGAAATTTTAGTTACTAAATTAATTAAAAATATTTTTTTCTGCCAATAATTCCTGACCATAAATTTCAGCCTTATGGTATCTTACCTATGTATATAGTGTCCTCATGGTCGTATAATAAAAATCTTAATTTGTTGCAGTTATATAACTAAGATGAAGATAAATTATTTTGAGTAAATCACTGTTATACAAACCTTATATAGAACATGAAAATGTTGTAATCATGAAGAAACTGTTATTAGCAAGTTGTATGACTTATAGATGTATTTTTAACTGTTATTAGCAAGTAGTATGACTTATAGGTGTATTTTTTCTTAGAACAAAAGTATAAACTAATGACTGTGCAGTTTTTCTGTAATAGGACATCTACCAAGTCAAATATAGTACTTAAGGACACAAATTTTAAAGTCAAAGAGCCTGGCATCAAATCCCAGCTCCACTATTTGGAAACTATGTGTCCTTGGGAAATAATTTTGCTTGTCTGAATACAAAGTTGCTTATATGTGAAATTAATATAATAATATTCCCTTCCTTAATGAAATGTTATAAATGTTAATATTTGTGAAAGTGGTTGGAAATGTGCTGGGTTTACATTTAATTCTAAAAAGACAAAATATACCCATGTCCCCTTACCTCCAAATAACTATTACTCTAGCTACCCCTTACTGCCTTCATTTTTCACACTAGTGATTTTTATCATGATGCTCTAGAGATAAACTGGAATGTTTTAAATTTTTTGTATGACTTCTTAAATGTACAAATACAATGTTGTATACAGAAATATACAAAACCACCATATAATGTATACATTGGGTTGATAAACCTTAGGGACAAGAGGGTTTGATTTCCATGAATGCTTTGATTACAAATTTCATTGGACTCTTGATCTCTTAAATTTGGGATAGTGTTCAAAAAGCCATAAATTATAAAGTTGAAATGGACCTCAGAAGCTTCAAGCCCCCTCCCCCCATAGGAGATCTTTCCACAGAAGATTCATACAACTTTTATTTGCATAACTTCAGTGATAGAAAAGGTCAGTTGCACATGGAACAGCCTCTTTCCTTCAATCAGTGCCTCTTACTTACTTATGTTGAGCTCAAAATTTCCTTTTTGGCAACATCCAACACTGGCTCTTCTTTATTCTGAAAGTAACACAAGTAGTCAATTCAACATAGCTTTGTAAAAAACTGTTTTGTTACAAAATAATAAATAAATACGATCAACTGACAAATAAAAAATAGAAAATGTGAATAGGTTTAGGTGAATAGTCTTGTAACAAGTGCCTAACTCAAGAAATAGAACTTTGCTACCAGGAGCTGTCTTTAACTTTTCCTGGTCATAATTCTTTCCTATTTCCTGAACTATCCACTGTCCTGATGTTTATTACTAATCATCTCTTTGCATGGCTTATTAAAAATTGAATATGTCTTTTAAGTCTCTCTCTCTCTCTCTCTCTCTCTCTCTCTGTCTCTCTCTCTCTCTCTCTTTTGAGACTAAGTTGCTTTGGGGCCTCACTAAGGCTGGCTTTGAACTTGACCCATTGGTAACCTGAGCCATTGGGATTGTAGGTGTGCACCACAATGCCCAGCTTTTTTTCTTTTAATATTAGAATCTATTATCAAATATGTTTAGATAATAGATTCTAATATTAAAACCTTAGATTTCTATTACCAAAGCACACTTATCTGTTCCTGATCTTTAATTGCCAAGCTTTGCTGGTTATTCTCCACTGGACACATCATGGTTTAATCCAGTGCCTCAAATTAGTATATTCAAAGTGAGTGCCATACTCCAGAAGTGCAACACTACTGAAGAAAACTGTGAACAGCTATGATCTGCATACATTTTCTAAAATATGCATTAGCTGCTTTTACCAGGTGGAAAACATGACTGGCTCTGCTTAAACTTTGGATAACATAAGGCACAAGATATTCTTATTAGAAATGCTGCCAGGACAGGAATTATACTCTTCGTAATTTAATATTGTAAACTTGAATGCAGGACTCTTCATTTTTTTTGCTTTTTACCATTTTCCATATTGATTTAAGCCTTGCTATCAAATTTTAGATATTATTTTAACTTCCATTTAAAATGAATGTGATATTAAGAATGAGACTTAGAACAATGAAACTGAAGAAACAGATACTAAAAAGAGACACAGTACATTTTAATAGAAACTCAGTTTTCATTTTTTCATGCTGTGGATGTACTTCACTGCCAAGTAGGATAATTTGCATTTACTTAGTTCATTGAATTTCAAGATAAATGAACCAAGTATATTTAAATATAATGTTGATGAACATAATATGAATAGAAAACTGCCTGAATATTTAAAAAATAATATATTAAAAATAATAATACATAATAAATGGATCATTTATAATTAAAGCAGAAGGTGAATTGCTGTAGTCATACCATCAACTTTTAAATTTAATTTTCCTCATCTGTAAAATAGTTATCCTACAGTATCTGCTTTGTAGGATGGTTTTGAGGAGGATAAAATAATAGACTAAGTATAAAATGTTTAGCACAATGCCTGATGCATGGAAAACATTCAAAAACTTCAAAATACACTAACTGCTCTTGTTGAATTTTAATGCTCTCTCTGAGAATGCACCAATATATTACTATCTCATATATGCCTTTCACAGTTTTGCTTTCATATCAGATGGAGGCCTACATTATCTAGGATCTGTCTTTCACCCCTTATCTTTTCCTGCATGTTCTGGTGGAGATATCAGAGAATACTTACCAGAAGCCAAAAAGATTAGATTATATACTTTCATGAGTGGAGAATTCTTAGCTGTCATGCTCTCATGTAGTCCTAATGCACCTATATTTTCATCATGATGATCCTTCATTGCATTAATAATTCAGAAAAACTTTTGTGGAGCATGTTACTGAAGCCCTAAAAAATTGGATTAACCAGTTTTTTTTTTTTGGTGTGCGTTTTTATACTGACACCAGTTTTTTAAATTTTTAAAATAATACCACAATCTCATTTATATTTAAATGCATCAGTTGAATTAAGATTTACAGGGAGTCTCTAATTCAAAGGACGGGGTAAAAATTAATTGTGGAACTGGTGGAAAGACTGATGAATTAGTTTTGGACATATATATATATTTTTGGATACTCAAAACCTTTTATTGTATACTCTTATTTACAGCAATAGGTAGAGTTTTGCTGAATTAAAGAAGAAGGGTACTTTGTTGGTTGATGAATCTAGGAATCTTTAACATGTAGTAGGGAAATATTTATCTATAATTCTGAAGGCCACTCTGTTGGTGAGGTTTAGACCTTGTGGGGATTGATGTCTCACAGAGGTGATTAGGAAATCCATGACTATTGTCATAGGTACATCCAAATAACAGTTTTATGAAAAATTCCCTTAAGACATTAAGCTTTATCTTTTCCTTTTCTTTTTTAGATTTCTTCAAAGGAGATTAATTTCAGGGATGAATTTAACTATTTATATATTATATTAAACTTACATAGAAAATTAAAAATATAATGTAAACCATACTTACAATTAATTGAAATTTATTTTGTTTAATGAGTAAGATATAAATTACATTGGAGAACTTATGTTATTTAAATATTTATGGAATCATCATTAGTTCATGAATGAATTGAAAACAATACATTCAGTTGTGGATATAGCTCAGTGGTAGAGCACTTATCTAGTTTGTGGAAGGTTCTGGGTTCAATCCAGCACTGCAAGACATAAAAGCCATGATCACTCTTTAGTCCACCTTTTAATTCAAGGACAGAAAATTTAGCAATAGCTTAGAGCCACTTATAGTCCTTTATACACTTCTTTTCTTCATACCCAACTCAGGAGAATCGTGATTTTGAATTTTGCGTTCCTTACACACTTGATTTAATAAATAAATAACTAAATAAATACTAAACATGTTCACATTCAAATGTGAATGCCTAAATA